TTTAGCATGCCCCCAAACATTATACAGAACAATTCGGCAGGATCCCCACAAGCCAGCCCAGCCATGCTTGTTATGTAATGCATCAATCAAGCTATCTATCTCATTTTACCATAAACTGTGGGACACTTGGAAAACTTCATCCGCATTATACAATTGTACACCTCTTCCATGAAAATGAACCGACTTAATTGATTATTCTCGTGATACTTCTACCTCTCAGCTTGAAAAATCAAAATTGCAAAAAGAATCAGCTGTAACATATATCATTTTCTATGTCACTCTGATGGCACCAGAAGTAGGGGAAGACAAATTGGCTCCTTGAGAAGGTTGAGGCTGCCCAATTTTAAGCTCTAGAGCATCTTTTTCAGCCGGTGAGCTCATACCGATACGACCGGCCATAGATGGACTGCTTGGAAGAGACCTTGGTGATGGAATTCCAGAAGGGTGAGAAATAACAGGTGCACAAGTAGCAAAGTTACCATGTGTTTTGATCATATAGTGGTAGCTTGGTCTGGCAAAGTGCATCATTGGGGCGTATGGGACATTTTCAGGAATTCCCATCTGTTCAAACATTAGCAAAATCATCATCATAAATGATTCTGGCACTACAACTTCAAATGGAAGCAAACAACACATAGCCATAAGAAACAGCAACTAAAATCACATAACTTTTCTTTACAATTTGAAAGCTATTATTCAGAACAGTTCCCTTCAAAATGGGAAAAAGAATGTTCATGAATTACCATGTATGGGACGGCAGGGTAATTTGGAACATTGCAAGGTGGAGACACTGGAGCAGCTGGGGGGCTATCCAAACATAGATGTGGAAATCGGTTTAGAATCTGAGACGGAACGCTTGCCTGTAAGATTATTAAAAGTCATTAATGTAGATCATGTTTATAAGTTAATGTTCTTAAGGTTAACGATATATAAGCTGGTGGATTTACCTTTGGTGGTGAGCTATTAGCTGTATTAATCTTCTGTGGCAGAACTTTAGAGCTGCTACCCTGCACCACAAGCAGCCATTACAAATAGGTTCTAGCCTCATCTTGAAATGAGCTTTGATGACACAATTGATGGGCTTACCTCTGATGAAGTTTCTGTAGCTGTTCTTGTTGGTGAAATTGGAGAATCTTGATGACCCTGATCCTGCAGGTCCATCTAGTATAAGTCATTTATATTAACTAATTAAGATGTTTAGAACTTGAAACCAAAATGAAAATGCATAGAGGATTGATCTGTGAGAAATAGGGAGAGAGAGAGAGAGAGAATTACAGAGAGTTCTTTAAATTGCATGTCAAAGAGGCTTGATCTGCGTTTTCTCTTATCATATGTAGCCTGCCTGAGGAAATATTTTTGTGCATGACTAGCAACCTGAGTTGGGGTTCTGGTGGTGACAAAATTTCTTGCTATTCCTCTCCAATCTCCTTTCCCAAGCTTCTTCAAACCAGCTAGAAACACCCGGTGCTCTTCCTCGGTCCACGGCCTCCCTGAGGACATATATTTATTCAAATTCAGCCAAAACCAAACCTGAAGAAGAATCTATATGCAAAGCTCTTATATGTTTGTAGCCATCAATGTTAATTAAGAAGTTCATTAGCACCCATTAGCAAGGCTCATTAATGATTCTACTTCATTATGGATTGGTTTAAAATTTCACTTAGTTATCATAAGCTTTGAAAACCAATTTGAAGAGCTTCATTATATCATCTGCTGCAGTATTAATTTAATTAACAACTGCAAGATTGTACAAAGTACTTTTTTTTTTAACAAAAGTTTATAACAAAGCTTATACAAAGAAACAAACATCGAAAGAAACGTGCATTGTCCAACACATGACACAATTCATCAAACAGCAACAAGAAGAAAGCCTAGACGCACAAATTAATCACTGGAAAATTGATATAACAAATTGGTTATTAAATATTTTATTGTATGTACCTTTTTTTCTCTCATGGGCGGCTTTGTGTCTCTTGTTGTGAATGAGGCCGTCGGAGAGATAGCCGGCATCGTGATCAATTGTAACAACGTTGTTGTTGTGGTCTGCATTGCCTGCCGCCTGCAGATTGCCCATGCTGTAACTCTTCTTCATCGCATCATCTTCTTTCTCCATAATGTTTACGCCGAAAAGCTTCAAGCAAACCCCTTTATTTTGTCCATGGCCATGGCCATTGCTGTTGCACGTCCTAGAGTTATGCCCGTTGTGCCCGCAATGCGAACACTTTCTCATTGATTCCTTCACCATGTTTGGTTATATAACAACCCTTTTCGCTTTAATCTCTGATCAACACAAATCTTTTAAAGGAAAACTATATGAAGATGGAAGATGATGGGTTTTGCTTGATATATTGATTTGTGGATTAATTTGTTAGGGATAGAAGAAAGAAGAGAAGAATTAACCTTAATTTTTCTGTTTCGTGCAAGGGAAGGTGTTGGAGTATTTATGGGGCTTTTAGTTTCCTTTTCTATAATAAGTCTATAACAATCAAACACACGTACCCCAAGTTTGTGTAACATTTTCTCCTTTTTTTCCCTTCACCACTAAGCTCACTGAAAAAATATAAATCTTTTTACTAATTGGATTTTGGGAAAGTCATTGAAAGGTTGGGATTGGTTCAGTGGTGAGTCAACATGATTGTAAGCCGTTGGATTAGAATTGAAACTTCTTTGATGCTTTTTTACTGCAATGGGCGACTTCCACGTGGCAGTAGTATGCAGTTCTGCGTGAAGCTGGTCTTACGCGATGATACAATGCGTCTCTCTGGAAAGTCGGTACGCGTCCCTGGTCCTAGCTACTAATTTTATCTTTTTACCCAAAAATAAAAAATAAAAAGTAAAAAAGAAGAGCACCTTTTTCCAGCTTTTTTGTTGATGCTGGTCAAAATCCAATTTTAGCTCTCTAATTTGGGAGATCAAAATATTCAAAACTCTAATCAGGACAGCTAATCTGGATTTTCAATTCAAGTCTCCCTGTGATTTTGTACAGCCAGGTAGAAGCTTACCTGGTTGCCTCGAGTCGTTGGGACTCAGAGATTCAACTTGGACGCCCAGGATTTGTTTATAGTTGATAGACTTCCTAGTTACGCAAAATCAAATCACGTGGGGAAATTGGAAACAAGATTTGGTGTGGTAAATCACCAAGAAAAAAGGTGGTGTGGTGAAATTGAAACACAAGAATGTGCACACTCGATTATCTTTTTTAAGCGCGATAATTATGACTGAATTAATTTAGATTTGTTTAGATAAATACTGGTGTCAATGTAGTTAAGACATATTAGACTCTAGTTTGTTCTTTTCTTCTTTAATTAGCATCTAGCGATAAGCTTATTTAAGGCTGGCTTGCATGCCAAGAAAATGACTTATAGCTAACGGTGCCTTGGAAATGACAAAATAGTGTTTGCTAGAAAATCTTCACAAGAAGATATCTTTCCTATCAAGTAACTTACTTTCCACAAGAGATGATTTAGGTCGATTTCTAAACTTGATGGAAGAAAGAAAGTCATTTACATCACAATTATCCAAGCTTCACTTAATTGCACATTCAATAAGAGATTGGTTTCAGATTTTCAGGTTTTTAATAAGGAATCAAGATTAGAATTAAGAAAATTAGATTTGATAATAAAACCATTATTCTTTTGTTTGTTTGTTTGTTTTTTTTTCTGAGGGGGAGCGAGTCCAGTGAGTTCCAGAACTTGGCCCTATATATATGTATATATATTTTGTGAAATTACATGAAATTTTTTTTTCTATCTGAAAAATAAATAACAACTTTTTAAGGGGCCTGAAATAGCAAAATTACGAGTGAGGTCAATAGAAGTTAGTTTGGTGGTTTCGTCGTTTTATCAACAAACAATGAAAGAAACGCATGCTTGACGTAGGCAAAGACAAAAGAGAGAGAGGTCAGCAGCATCACATGCAGAAGCTTAAAAACTTTGTCATTGTATACGTTCCTTTACTTTACTTATCAATTCACCACGTGTTAATATGCATGCGCTTCAGTTTTTAATCTGCTTGATCATTCTATGCTCTCCGACGCAGAGAAAAACAGTGTCGTTTTCTTCTCTATGAACGTGGTTCTTGAGGTATAAAAGGGTCCCACTCATCCTCTTGACGTGTACAGGGTCCCACTCATTATCTTCACGCATATCCAGCCCCAAAAATAAGTGGTAGGCTCCACCTCTCAACTTCTAGATGTAATCAGAAGCCATATATATTTGCTCGAGAGGATGCAACGTATCAGTGAAGACAGCAGGAAGTGTCATCTTTTGACATCTCAGCAAATGAGCTACTAGGACTTCGTTTCTTGCTCTCAAATTGTATGTGGTTTCTCCGCAAAACCAAAACTTCTAAAATTGTAATAAATTTCCATACACTAATACTCCAACTTATGATTAACTATACCTCTTATATCTGGATGGGAACGGGATTGGATTGTTTGAGTCTAATTCCATATTGGTTGAATTAAATTGAGAGCTGCCATGGAGTGATTAAAAGTAATTTAATTAACCTTCTATTTTATGTGGGATAGTTAGGATAATTTATTCGAAGACAAAGTTATAGAAAGTTACCAAAATGCCCGAGCTCTCTGTTACGAGATTAGGGTTGGGATCCGGTAAAAAGGGTGTGTCATCATTATTGCATATTATACTATTTAAGCTTGTCTGAGTTCGAGTTTTCGATCTATTTAAACTCTCGCAAGATAATGAGTCACTTTATTATAATTTCGGAAAATAGCCTCTTGACCTCCTCAAGCAACATTTCGTCCGACAGTCTTTCTTCTCCTCTCCGTGAGTCGAGAACAATGCTCGGTGCATCACCCCCTGCCCTAATCCACAATAATGCTCGGTGCATCACTCTTGGCCCTGATCCACTTCCAAGAAATCGCAATCCGAAGCAAACTAGAGTCCCTCCCTCACAATGGTATTAATTTTTTTTTATTGTAATTAGTATCAATAGAGAATATGTGTATGTTTCTAGTAAGTTTAGGAGTCTTTCCTTCCAAAGATGGTATATTAGCTCGTCACGCTTAAGTCTCGAGTTTTATGCGTAGAAAACGAGACTCAATCTTTTTAATGCTAATTCATATACAAGTTGTTTTCTTTCACTCATGCAACTATTTGATTTGGTCCATCAAATGAAGATATCCACTCACCCTTTCCTTGAATGGAAGGAATATAGTAAAGTTTATGTAATGTCTATGTATGACAAAGTTGGTTTTCTTTCACTCGTGTAACTATTTGATTTGGTCCATCAAATGAACATGTCTCCTATCATTTCATTCCAACCCTTTCCTTGGAAGGAAGGAATAATGTTAATGTTTATGCATCAACAAATCACACACACAAGTCTTCATAAGCATAACAAGAGATTAATTACCAGACATAATCTATCTCTTGCTACCTTCCTAAATCTGTTCCATATTGTTACAGATAATTTCTAGGTCTTTCCAATTAAATGAACAGGTTGCACCGGTCTCCGTATTTTCTTCAAGACTGGACTGGTGGATTGACAAGCTAAGCTAGCTGGAGCGATTTCAGTGCAAATGGTCAAGACAAGTTAGTTTCGTTGATTTGTCTTGTAATTACCAGACCCCACCCACCCCACCCAACCCACTGCAAAGTGAAAAACGCTCGCAAAATTCAAGGACACCTCTCTCTCTCTCTCTCTCTCTCTCTCTCTCTCAAACAAACTCCCCGACTTAAGTCCACACCCTTCAACACGTGCTCCACACAATGCATGTACATGTTTCATCGCCCTATAAGCCAGGCCCCTTCTTACCTACACGTGTGGCTCGCCATGCAAATTACCCCATCGCCGCCTTTAATTCCCCGCCGTAACACCAAACTACTGCTCACTCCTTTTAAGTTAACGACACTAGGCCCGAGGGGCATAATTGGAAACTATATTTTAATGTGACATGGCGGAAGCTGCTCCTTTTGACCCAACAACTGTCTCGCTCTGGTTATCACAACCTTCCCCATGGCAAGCAACCCAGCCATGCAAACGCAACTTCTTCCGTCACACCCACTTGTTTGATCAACACCACCCCCACTACACGCCCGTCACCGTTAGATTGAAGGTGGTTAAACCTGGTTGAAAATTTAACCCAAGCAGAGCTCTTGCCACTATAAATACCTCCTCTTCTCCTCACTCTCAACTCACTCCAATATCCATATCCTCTTCTGCTTCATGGATATGTAATGTCTTAAAGTTCTCAAGTTCTTTGTGTCAGCAACAGAAACACAATGTGGAGAGCCTTGCATCAAGGTTACTATGAGCTGCCCGACCCGTACCTGAGCCAGTACCCGTACCAATACCCGTACCAGTATTATCCGGGTTACCTGATGGGTCCGGCCCAGTACAACGACCTGATCATGGACACTGCAATCTACGGGTCGGACGAGTTCCGGATGTACGCCTACAAGGTCAAGCGGTGCCCTCGCATGCGCAGCCACGACTGGACCGAGTGCCCCTACGCCCACCGTGGCGAGAAGGCGCAGAGGCGCGACCCGCGCCAGTACTCGTACTCCGCAATCGCGTGCCCCGCTTACCGGAACGGGAGGTGCCACAAGGGGGACCTCTGCGACCTCTCGCACGGCGTGTTCGAGTACTGGCTCCACCCAGACAGGTACCGCACCCGCGCATGCAATGGGACGCCGCATTGCATGCGTAGGGTGTGTTTCTTCGCGCACACCCCTGACGAGCTCCGCCCAGAGCCCGAATTTTACCCGCGCAAGTTCTATGTGCCGCATCCGTACGATCAGTACCCGCGCCGCCCGTACCGTCCGCATAACTGTGCGTACCGGGCGGTCCAGGTGGGAAGGGGGATGTACGGCGGCGGACATCGAGGCGGCAGGTCAGCAACCGTGGAGGAGTATGAGATGATACTGAAGAACAAGAAGATTATGGACGAGTCTTTTGAAAAGGTGGAGAGTTTCCTGAGCAGTCTGAGGTCCTTGACGCTGAGTGATGAGCCTTTCGAATTCGAAGACGAGATTGAGGCGATGGATAGTTATGGGATGGTGGAGGCAGCACCATCGGTTTCGGGGCTGCCGGAGTTCGACTGGGTTACAGAGCTGTTGCAGTAAATAATTCTCTCATTAGAGAGAGGAGGAGATTCTCACTATGGGAGTCGCTGTGTGAAGAAGATTAGTGTCTGTATGTATTTTCAGTTTGCTGTGTTTGAATTTCAGTGTATGTACGAGTCGTCGTCGTCGTCTGGTGGTCAACCAGTGCCGTGTGTTGTAGTAATATTGTGGGTTTGAAGCTATGTATGTGTAATGTAATGAAATAAAGAACATGTAAATCATGTTCAGCTGAATCCCTTGTAAATAAGAAGGGTCAGCTCAATCAATAAGTTAATAATAATGTTCCGGTTTAAATATTATGTTCTCCTTCTTTAAT